CGGGGGGGGGGGGGCAAGAGACTCAGTGCAGCAGAGCAAGGGGGGCGGCGAATGCAACGCCACTGCACGGCACCAACAGCCAGTGCCGGGAGCGTTGGCAAGCACTGCAACAGCCATGTGGCTTTCACTTCCGGGTTGCTCTGACAGTGGTGGCGCACCTGGCCTTCCTTGATCATGAGCCCCGCAAACAGCACGCCGCGGAAGGGGGTGCCCTCGGCGCACATGCCTCGTGCGGTGGGGTACACCAGCTGCTCCATTGCCTGGTGGCCAGGCAAGTGAGGGAGGAAGGCAGGCAGAGAGACAGGTGTGATTGGAGGGATGGCAGGCAGTTTCAAAAGGAAAGCGCAGTGTCACTCACCTGCCGCTCAATCTGGGGCGTCAGCACAGGTGCGGGAGAGTAGCTGCCCATGCCGCCGGTGTTCAAGCCCGTGTCACCCTCGCCCACCGCCTTGTGATCCTGCATAGCACGCGCTCAAGTAACGATAGTGGGCAAAGATGAGCACCGCTCTCTGCTGCAAACAAGGCGCATCCCTTGCGCTCTTGCTGCTGCCCTATCCATCTCCTTCTGAGCCAATCACCAACCCACCTGCGCCCCCACTAAAGGTATGCAGTTCTCGCCATCAATGAACGCAAAGAAGGAAGCCTCCTCGCCGCTCAGGAACTCCTCCACCACAACGGTGGCGCCTGCAGCCAGGACGGCGCCTTGTCAGCCACAAATCGAGGACGTGCCATGCATAGAACCCAGCAGATGTCCGTCCAGCATGCAGACCTCCAGCCCTATCAAAACCCCAGGTGGACGGCGCACCCGCAGAGCCAAATGCGTTGTTGACCATCATGTCATCTACCGCCTGGTACGCTTCCTCCAGCGTCTGGGCCACAATCACGCCCTTGCCTGCACCCATGAAGCAGATAGGATACAGCAGCCAGCCTTGGAATGCGGGTCCAAGTGGCGGCAACGAGCTGCCAGCAGCAAACACTGCCGCCCGGCGACGCTTCCGCTGAAGATTGCAGTGCACAGCCATGTGCATGGTTCATGCGTGCCTGCTGCCAGGCCGCTGGTCTTGACCACGATGGGGGCGCCGCACTGCGTGATGAAGGCCTTGGCGTCAGCGGGGTTGGTGAAGGTCTCGTACTGCGCTGTGGGGATGTTGTACTTCCTGCACCTCAAACACACCAATCTCAGGTGCCGGTAATAACTTGGGGCAACCCAAGCTGCAACAGGTTGCGTACCAGCCCAGGCACAGGATCAGAGCGGGCAGCAGCTGCACCTGCAGATGTTCTTCATGAATGCCTTGGAGCCCTCAAGCTGCGCTGCGGCTGCGGTCGGCCCAAATGCGGTGATGCCTGCTGCGGTGAGCGCGTCCACCATCCCCTCCACCAGCGGCTGCTCGGGCCCCACCATCACAAAGTCCACACCCTTCTCGCGGCAAAAGTCAATGACCTGCATGGTGAGCGAGGGCCGGGCAGGCTGGGTGACAGTGAACCGAAGGTGGAGTGGGCGGGGAGCGAGCACAGAGCACCACGGAGATAGACGCAGCATCACCGCACCTGCTGGTGGTTTGACGTGTTGAGCTGCGGCAGGGTCACCATGCTCGGCTCCAACTGTGTGCCGGCGTTTCCGGGGGCCACATACAGCGTGCCGCACGTTGGCGACTGCGCCATCTTCCAGGCCAGCGCGTGCTCGCGGCCACCGCTGCCCACCACCAGCACGTTTTGCTGCTTGCACGTCACCAGCAGGCGGCGGGGGCCGGCGGCGGCGGCGGTGCGGCGCGCCTGTGCGGGTCGGGCGCCCATGCAGCATGCATGTGCTTGATGCGAGGCCATGGTGCTGTTCCTGGTGCCCCTATCCTGGACAGCGCGCTGCTGGGCAATCACGACACAGTGGAATGCTTTGCAAGGCTGTCGGGCAGCAGCCGCGACAAGGGCACCGGGAGCGTGACGATGCACCTGCAGATATGCGGGCGGTGCATGGAAACGTTTCTTCCAGTTCAGTGTGCTGTGACTGCTGGGAGTATGCGCTGGCCTCGCACGCTTTGCCTCTGAGCTCTCTGAACAGGGTCGCCCAGCAGTCCTGCTGCTGCTGCCAGCCTCCTGCTGCGCCCCGGAGGCAGTCAAGTCAATCGAAGTACACAGTTGCAGCAGCTGCGCGCGATCACATGGCCGACACACTGCCCCAAACCACGGCCCCCACGCCGGTGGCGGTGGAGCAGCCCAGCTATGCGCACCCGGTGGCCGCCTTCTTCCTCTTCTTCTTCAAGGCCGCAGCCGTGTTTATCTATATCTTCTGCGGCTGGTTCGGCACAGACTTTGTGATCAACTTCTGCACTATCACGTTCCTGCTGGTCTGCGACTTTTGGACGGTGAGCGGCGGCAGGTGGCGGCGGTGGCGGGTGGCGCCGGGTAGGGTTGAGCAGCAATAAGCAAGTGCTGCGAAATCGACAGCGGACCACCGTTGCGAGAAAAGCACTGCAGCCTGTGGATGCAATTCCTCACAACTTGCCGCCACCTGCCGCAGGTCAAAAACGTGTCGGGGCGGCTGATGGTGGGGCTGCGGTGGTGGAACGAGGTGTCGGAGATGGGCGGCAGCGACTGGAAGTTTGAGTCGCTGGAGGAGGGGCAGCGTGCGGTGAACAAGAAGGACAGGTGAGGTGGGACCCCGCTCAAAGCTTGCTGGAGATCGCTTTTCGCTCGGCGCCAACCTGTGACCTGACCTTGCCATGCAGCTTTGTGTTCTGGACGCTGCTGTATGCCACGCCCGCGGTGTGGTGCGCGCTGGGCTTCATCGCCATCCTCAAGCTAAACATAGATTACCTGCTGCTGGTCATCATCGCGGTGCTGCTCAGGTGTGATGGGCAGGGAAGTGCAGCAGATGAGGCAGAAGTGTGCTTGCTCCAACAGAGCCAGGACCAGTCGAGCGCAGTTGGTCGCCCTTCGATGAGCAGGCGGGAGGGTGTGTTTCACGTCCCGGGCAATACATGTGTGGCATTGACGCATGCCTGCCCCGCTCTCGTGGCTCACCTGCTTGCAGCGGAGCCAACCTGATGGGTTACCTAAAGTGCAGCAAGGCGGCGCAGAACCAGATCAAGGGCAGGTTTAACTCGCTATTCGCCTCTGGGCTACGCGCCTACATGTTTTCCGGGCGAAGCTGAGCTTGTGACGTCATTGTGCTATTTTGTACCAATGCTTGCTGCTCTTTGCTCATCGCTTACCACTCCCTCTTTCGCTCACTGTTATTACAGCTGTAATGGCTGATTTCTTCATTGACAAGTGGACACATGGGTTGTTGGCAGCATGCGCACACAGCGCTCAAGTGAATGGCACATTAATCACACTCAGGAGTGGGAGATAGCAAGCATCACTGCTCCGCAGCCTCCTGGGAGACTGGCACGAGAGCTGGCGCAGACACGGGCACTGCGCACACAGATGTGCGGTAGCGTGAAGTGCTCACGTCCTTCTCGTCCGATGCTGCACGCATCACAAACAAAAATGCAAAATTTAGGCAGCAATCGCTCTCCAGGCAATGCTAGCTGCTCTCTCTCCCAGAGCTGTGGATGCATACTGCCTTATCCTCCGCACCTCCAGTGAAGCGGGTGGAGAATGCCACATAGATAACCACCTGCAAAAGGTAAATCCTCAACAGAGGTTGTCTGCAGCACGCCAATGGTACGCAGCCCTGCATTTGCACCCAGCCGTTCATCTTACCTTGTTCTTCTCGTCGTAGATGCGCCGGATCCGCAAGTTCTGCAAAGCTCAAGTGGCAACAGGACCATTGGGATGCACGAAGGCCGACAGTGAAAATGGTGAGTGGCGTTTGGAACAAAGGCAGGCGGCCCCCAGGCCAGCCGACAAGCATACCTTGTTTTGGAACACGTTCAATGCTTTTCTCTCGGCAAAGATTTGCTTTCCCTCGCTGCCTGAGATGGCGGCCTCGTTCTTCACCGTCACCGGCCCTCTAGCAACGCAGGTCAGCGATGCTTGCGAGGGGTCGGAGAAAGGGTCCTGCAGAGTGTGTTGCTGTTTCACATCCAGCCACTTGACAGGCACGCATCCATCAGGACAGCCACACAACGACGAACGCTCAAAACATGGGCAGCGAATTTGACGGCGTGCCATGCATTTGACAGCATGCCACGCGGCTTGCCTTGGCCAGGCGCTCGGTGATGCTGCGGTTGTAGTCGGTCAGGTACACCACAACTCCATCCACTTGCTCGTCATCCAGCTCAATGATACGCACAGTATCTCTGGGGAGGGGGCGAAGGGACCAGGTGGCGATTTCGGCATCACGTGTTGTGAGGATGTGCATGGGCTGTTTGTTCTCACTTGAAGATCAGGCCGCTGGTTGCAAACTCTGCCACCTGCTCCCGGGCCAAAGCGCCGCCGCCAAAAAGCAGGATGCCTGCTGCTACGGAAAGGCCGACGGCCTTTGCCGCCAAGCCGATGGCGGTGGTGGGGGCGGGTGCCCCCCGATGGTGTTGCTCGGCTCGGATGGCAGGCATGTTCGGGTGGCTGGCAGCCACCCGAACATGCCTGCGAGCTGGCTGGCTGCAGCTCGCAAGGCGTGGTGTTGGTGAGCAATGCGTCAGTGTGGCCAACATGTGTGTCGGGGGTTGTTTGGCAACCTCAGGAGACCGTCAGATGGACCTCTTGATACAATAGAATGCACAAGGATGAGTGTGCTACCCTTGATGGAATTGCTGACGTGTTGCCATCACCCAGCACCGTGCCATCACCCAGCACCACCCATGCCCATCACCAAGCTGTTCAGAACTTCAATGCACTTCCGAGCAAGATCAGACGATATCAGACGATACTGCTATCGTTGCAGCAGCACTGCTGATCAACCCTCAGACCACCAAATTTGTTGCGATGCCGGCCTGGGCGGTGGCGGCTGGCCATACTTATAATGTCAACGTGGGGGTGGTGAGCGCTGCTCCAGGAGGGCATCGATGATGTTTGCTCTCCATGCAACGATGGGTCGCCGCCCGCCCGCCGCCCGCCAGCCGCGCGCGCCCCCCACCCCACCCCACACACAACACGTCAACATTAACTTCCTGTGTTTGATGCAGCTGGGGCATGTCGACTCGGGGAAGACATCCCTGGGTGAGGGTTTTTGGGTTGCTGCATATTGCCAGCCGGCCAGCCACCGACCTTGTGCAGGTTCGCTCAGTCTTGCCCTCCTTGGCTGCAGTCGCTGCACTGTCCACCACGCTGTCCACCGCCGCCCTGGACAAGCATCCGCAGAGCCGGGAGCGGGGCATCACCCTAGACCTGGGCTTTTCGTCGTTCATGGTGGGCAGGCCAGCTGGCGGTGGCACATGGTGGCTGTGTCTTGCATGCCGCGGAGCAACGTCGATCGGGTGGCGAGCACGTGTGTGCAGGTGCCTGCACCGCCTCAGATTCAGGCGGCAGGGTACAGCCACGTGCAGTTTACCCTGGTGGACTGCCCCGGCCATGCCTCCCTCATCCGTACCATCATCGGCGGCGCGCAGGTGGGGTAGGTAGAGGGCTTGCCAGGCAGGCTCTGCCGGCAGGAGTTCCCCCCTTGCAGCTGGCTACGCTGCACTCCTGCACTGAAGGGTCCACCTGACTCACCAAGGTCGTGCCCCCTATTTCCCTCTCCCCTGGGGAACAGATCATCGACCTCATGGTGTTGGTGGTGGATGCCAGCAAGGGCATCCAGACGCAGACTGCGGAGTGCATCGTGATTGGGGAGGTGGCGGCGGCGGACATGGTGGTGGCGCTGAACAAGATAGGTGCGTGCCTTGGCTGGTTGAGCAAGCTTCACAGGGACAGCACTTCTTCCATTGTGCCCAGGACCTGCAAGACAGGTTGGCATCAACACCAGCCCCCATCGGCCATCTCTCTTCTGCCCCATGCAGACCAGTTTCCTGCAGAGAAGCAGGAACGGTACTGCCGCAAGGCCCAGAAACTGGTTGCGGCCACCCTGACAGCCACAAAGTTTGCAGGGTGCCCCATCGTGCCAGTGGCAGCCCGTCCCGGCGCTGGCGGGGCGCCTGTAAGCGGAGGCGAGGCTGACGCTGCTCCCATCGGCGTCCAGCAGCTCGTCAACACACTGTTGCAGCGGGTGCAGCTGCGGCAGCCGACCACTGCTGGTAATGGCAGCGGCCGTGCAGCGGCAACGGAACCCTTCCTCTTTTTCATAGACCACTGCTTTGCCATCAAAGGGCAGGGCACCGTCATGACTGGAACTGTGATGCGGGGCAGCGTGCGGGTCGGCGACCCAATTGAGCTGCCGGAGCTGCGGGTGCAGAAGAAAGTGAAGAGCATGCAAATGTTCAGGTGAAGCAGTGGTTAGCTTGCTGCAAGTTGGATGCAGGGGCGAGCCCACTCTTTAATTACCTTAGCTATTGCTCCTACTTGTGTCCATTGCCAGGTTTGCAGACTGCCATCACTCACAATTGTCACCTGCACGTGTCCCTTGCGTCACTTTGGCATGCAGGCAGCCCATCCAGGTGTGCAGCCGTGGCGACCGGCTGGGCATATGCGTCACGCAGCTGGATGCAAAGCAGGTGGAGCGAGGGCTGGCCTGCACACCAGGTGAAGTGAAAGGGCCAAAAAAAACTGCCTTAGCCTGCGCTACTTGTTGGTATCCCTGCCCTGCCATCTGCACACCCAGGTTGCTTTATTGTTGCGTGCCGGCAGGCACTGTGCCCACGTTTGAGGCAGCGGTGGCAGCGGTGGAAAAGATTCGGTTCTATTCAGGAGAGGTGCGGTCGCGCAGCAAAATGCACATCACTGTGGGCCACGTCACAGGTCGGTGCAAGGGTTGTGTCCGGTTGGTGGGACCTGCAGTATTGTAGCATCAGCATGCCATGCAACCCCTGATCGTGCCTGTACACACGCCCTCTGGGTGTGCAGTGATGGCGGAGCTGTTGTTCTTTGGGTTACCTGATGGCGAGCATGGCCCACCAGAGCAGCCTGAGGTCAGCATGCAGCAGCAACTTGCCCAGCTGTGCCTTCAGCAGCAGCAGCCTGAGCAGCCAGGCAACGATGGACCTGCTGCAGCCTTTGATAGCAGCAGGGATTACCTGTACCAGGATTTTTTGTATGGGCTGGAGGGCCGTCCAGCTGCAAGTGGAGTGCCAGCAGCCGGGCAACATCCCGCAGACCACCAGCAGCAGCGGCAGCAACAGGATGACGGCCAGGAGGGTCAGCTGCAGGCGGTGCACCACGGCGTGCAGTGGGCATACCTACGCTTCAGCCAGCCCGTCACGGCCGCAGCAGACTCCCTGATCATTGGCTCCAAGCTTGATGCCGATCTGCACACCTCTACCTGCCGCCTCGCATTTTACGGCCGCATTTGCTGCTTAGTGGACCCATCTGGTGTGGCTTGCTGCAGTGGCCAGGCCGGGAGGTTGCGGGGGAGGAAAAGTTGTGTCCCAGCAACTACCTAACCTGGAGGCATCAGTGTGACCCAAGCTGCTTTCTCTGCCTCGATTCCGTGCCCATGCAGATCAGCGGCGGCTACGTCGCCTCCTGCCGGTTTACAAGCCCAAGCAGCGGGAGGGGGCGATAGAGCGGATAGAGGCAGATGGCTGCACAGCGGTCTGCAGGTGGTTAGCAGCCTTTGACGGTCGGCCTGTATCCGTGCCTTCTGGGTTCGTTGGTTTAGTGCTTTTCCACACTGCCCACATGCCTCCTTTCATTTCGTGTGCCCTAGTTCTCGTGGCTTTGGTGTTTCCTAGCCTTCGTGGCTTCCCTGTGCTCCATGCAGGGGCATGTTCCAGAAAGAAACTGATCTGGCACTGTTCACTGGTGCGCGGGGCGCAGCTTGCTCAACTGCTAAGCCACGCCAACCCCAGCAAGGCGTCACCTATGTGTCGGCCCCTGCATGCAGGCATGCGTGTGGTGGCAGCGCCGGGTGGGCAGGAGGGGCGGATCGAGGGTGGTTTTGGCAAGTCTGGAAAATTCAAGGTACATTTCAGAAGTTTCACCAGCTCGGATGGAAGGACTGCACGGTTAGATGCACCGCACCAGCCAACTACTGCCTCCCTGGCTCCCAGGTCGCGTGAACCTGCCAATTGCATGCCATTCGCAGGTGTTCTTCCCTAGCGGCGCGCCGCAGGCGCACCAGGGGCTGCCGCCACCCTGCGTGGTGCTGGGCTTCAAGCGCTTCCTCTTCGACGAGGACAAGCGGCGCATGGTGCAGTGACGAGGCGCAGCACGCGAGCACATTTCACATTCATCATGAGTACGAAATGTATGAGAAAAATGGGGTAATGCAATTCCAAACACGGGGTAGCCGATAGCATTAAATGACGCAAGAAAGGACTAAATGGGCGTGGCGCCTATTTGTCAGCATGGTAGGCAAAAAGGCTCGCTCAAAGCATCAGGCGTTTCACGGAAGGAACTGCGTTGAGATTTGCTCACATCATTGGGCCCCAAGCACTCCTGCTTGCATCCAGAACGGGTGCCGCGCCATGCCGCCCTGCAGCTGCAGCGCTACTCCCACCAGCCCGTTGGCTGCTGCCAGCAGCAGGACCACCCACTTGGCACGTGGCCACTGCTCCGAAAACCGGGTGGCATTCAGCGCCAGCACGCCACCCATCATGGCAAGGAAGCACAGGAGCGCGTGCTGCTGCTTGGCTGCACAAAGAGCAGAAGAGGGGCAGGGGGCGGGGAATCCAGATCAGCCCACACGAGATAAGGTTTACAACACAGCTAACATGCACGCCGCCCCCGTTATGCCAACCACAGACTGTTCCTGGAACCACATGCACGCATGCCTGATGTGGCAGACAGGGCAGGGGGCAGCGGAAATGGTGCCGCACCTGCGCTGGCCAGTGCGGCCTGCAGGCCGAGCATCTGGGTGGACACGTGCAACAGGTGGGCCTTCACCAGGGCATCCACTCGCGCAGCCAGCTCCTCGTCGCTCACATTGTGGTCCGCAGGCATCTGCGACAGGGGGCGCATGACAGAATCAAGGGAGCGCCGCGTCCAGGCAGGAAGGGCGGCCGGTGCAGAGTTTCGGGGGCTGGCTGAATTATGGATGCCGCTGCTCTAGCCTGGCCGCGCTCACCTTGGCCAACGAGGCCGCCAGGCTGGCCATGTCGCCCGTCAGCTCAGCGTACTGCACGCTGGCGTTGCGCTGCAGCTCCACCACGCTCTTGGTGAGCAGCTTCTGCTGCAGCTTGGCCGTCTTAATCTCCTGCAGCGCAGTCGGGGTGGTGGGCAACACGGGTCGACACGGCGTCAGGCAGCAGTCATCCAGCAGGTCGAGCAACCACACATCGAGCAATGCAAAACAGCACGTTGGGCATGGGCATTTGTTCCCCCACCATCAATGCCAGGACACTTGCCTGTACCAGCAGATCGTAGACGCTGCCGCCGCCTTTAGCCTTGGCCCCCAGCCCCACCAGCGGCAGTTCCAGCCCCTCAATAGGCGCTGCCGCACCAGGGCTGGCAACAGGTGGCGCTGGCGGGGCAGCTGCCTTGCCGCTTGGCGCCGCGGAGGCCGATGCAGGCTCCTGGTGTTGGCTGGGCTGGGCAGAAGCAGAGGCAGGAACCCTGCTGCCGGGCTGCGCTGTGGTTCCTCCAGCATCATCGCTGCTGCCATTGGCAGCAGAGGCCTGTGCTTGCGGCTGTGGCACTGATGAGGCGTTTGCAGCGGGTGGCGCAGTTGCATTGCCTGTGTCACTTGCAGGCGCTGGCTGTTCTGAGGTGGCAGCTCCTGCTGCGCTGCCATTGCTTTCCTGTGTAGGCACCGCAGCAGCTGCCGCCGCGCTGCTGGAAGCATTGGTGCTTCCACTCTGAGTGGCATGCTGTTCCATGTCTTCGCCTGCAATGCTGCCAGCGGCCTCGCTTGCTGCCGGAGTGCTGCCATTGCTGCTGTTGGTTCCACTGGCGCCAGCGCCTGCGTCTGGCACTGTTGCAGCGGAAGATGACTGCTGCACAACAGGTGCATCACTATCCGAGTCAGGCGGTGCTGCCGAGGGAGCCACTGTAGCAGCACCTGCATCAGACGCTGGTGCAGCTGATCCTGGCTCAGCTTCACTGCCATTGACTGCTGCGACACCTCCATCTGCAGCTCCCTGCTGCTGCTCGTGTTGTCGCTGGTCCGTGGGCACGGCAGCCGGCGCCGGCTCCTGCACCTGCTGCCGAGCTGGTGCATCGCCTGCACCAGCAGGCGCAGCAGGTGCTTCCACGCTAGTGCCCGCTGCTGCAGCACTTGCTTGGGCTTCAACCCCCGGCAAGGCAGAAGGCGTCAAACCGGCAGCCGTCTCAGCTGGTGCTGCGACCGGCACTGCTACAGGAGCTGCCGCCACAGGCTCCGGCTGCAGCTCTGGATCCAGCAGGCCCAGGCCCTCATCGGAGGCAGATGCCAGCTGGTCCTCGAGCTCCTCTACCGCGCTCTTGCCGAACACAGAGATGCCGTTGATGGCGCAGACAGGCTCGGGGCCGTGCTGGGACAGGAAGCGCAGCAGCAGATAGCGCGCCCAGAGCGGGCGGTCCATCGCAAACAGCTGGCTGCCCTTGGCCTTCTCGGCTGCAGGTGCAAGGCACGACATGGCTCGTGTATAAACAAGGCATTGGGCAAAGCGCAGGGAAAATGATGTAGTCATGCAAGCAGGGGCCTCCTCAAACCCGCTACCTCTGCACTGCACAAACCCCTAGGCGCACCTGTAAAGTTGCCCAGCAGCTGCCACTGCGTGCTGTTCAGGGTGCGGGCATACTCAGAGCCAAAGCCGTCGGTGCGCGGGTGGCTCTGGCGCCCCCACACCTCAAACTCACGCACCCGCGCCGAATATAGCTCAAACTGCGCCAGCTCCAAGCGGCTGACCTTGGCCACCTGGGACAGCTCCAGCATCAGCCACCTGGCACATTGCAGCAGTGGCAGCAGCGAGTTTACCAGGGAGGTCGAGAGCAGCAGGTGGCGTCGCCACAGCCTGCAGTGCAGCGCACTCACTTGTCGGCACGGCAGTCATTTTTCAGGAACGTGTCGCTGTCGTCATCCAGCAGCGCGTTGGGCTTCTTGACCTCCTTGTTGGCGGCCAGCACCTTTGCGCCTGCAGAAGCCCAGGCAAGATGAGACGAGCAAGCGAGTGAGCTGTGTTCAGCAAGGCGGCGGCGGGCATAAGACAACTGCTCCTAACGCCTCACCGTCCTTTGCAAGCGCAAAGTTGTGTTGCTGCTCATCGTGAAGCGCCTCCTCCACCGATGCCGCAGGTGCCGCAATCTCCGCCTCTGCTGCTGCCTTCTCGCCTTCCACAGATAGTTGATCGATTGCTGACGCCACACCAGGTTGCTCGCTGGCAGCGGCTGCATCCCCAGCGGGATGCTCGCCAGCGGCTCCCGCATCTGTTCCAGCATGCACCCCTTCTGGACCTGGGGTACCAGGTGTAGCAGCCTCCCGGCTCCCAGGAGGTGCATCTGTGACCACCCCTGCTGTAGCGGTGTCAGTGGTAGCCTTCGGCTGAGTCTGCTGCTGCTGCTGCTGCTGCTCTGGCTGGCCTTCGTCGATCGCCACAGATGCGTTACCAGCTGCCGGGGTGCTGGCAGTTTCAAGGGCATCGTTTGGAGGCAGGGCGCTGTCGGTGCTTGCGGCGTCGGCGGCAGCGGCGGTCGCCCCATCGCTGCACTGCCCGGGAGCAGCACATGCGGCTGCCGCCTGCTCTGGGCTGCGGCTGCTAGGAGCAGAGGCATTCTGCTGCTGCTTCTCCACGTGAGAGTTGGCGGCCGCCGTCGCCCCGCCCGAACGAGCAGCGCACAGCAGTGCCAGCAGAATGCTTGCACGCCACAGGGTCGCCACGGCGCCGCAGCGCCATGGCGCACACCGCATTCCCATGTGGGAGCCCTGTCAATTGGACGTCCTGAACACGGCCATGGTGGCCAGGATGCACGCAGCAATGCGCCAGAAGGAATCGTGCCGACGGGGAAGAGGGGACCTGAGTGCTGCAGCATGCTGTAGTGCACTGCCTGGAGTAGCGAGGCCTCCCTGAACAACGGGTGTCACGTTCATCCATCTCATTCGCGCCCTGATTAATAATTCATGAATCGCGCTGCCATCTTCTCCTGTGAGCAAGTGATGTCTTTGTGTTGCTTTGCGAACTGAGCACAGCCCAGCGCTCAGGGATAGGCCAGAGGTGTTGGGGCCTGCATCCAATCAACCAGGCATCCGCCAGCCTGGTTGGGCAGCGGCTTTAGCTGTTGCTCCGCCGTGGCCGACATGGCGGCACCCTCCGCACCACAGCTGCGCCTGCTGATGGTCTCCGACTTTTTCTACCCCAACACGGGGGGTGTGGAGAGCCACATCTACCAGCTGTCGCAGTGTCTGATGGCGTTGGGACACAAGGTGGTGGTGCTGACCCACGCATATGGCGACCGAGCGGGAGTTCGCTACCTCACAAACGGCCTCAAGGTGCTCCTGAGTTTACATCCGAAATGTAGCCGACGCAGCTGTCTGGTGTAGCTAGCTGTTCAGGCACGAGCAAGGCGGGAACAGAGGCTGCCCCGAAGGCGCACGTCCCTGCTTCTGCTGCAGGTGTACTATGCGCCCCGCCTGCCCTTCACCCAAGCCGTCACGTTCCCCACCCTGTTTGGCGGGTTCCGCCTGCTGCGCACCATCCTACTGCGTGAGCGCATCAACCTGGTTCACAGCCACCAGGTAGGTGCAGTGAAAGGCACGGGGCAGGTCGACTCACGGGGCTCTGGCTGGACACACTGAATTGAGCGTCAGCGCTGATGCCTCAGCAGGCCTGGATGCCTGGCCAGCCACTCTCATCGCACCAGCATCTGTGCCCTGCCTCGACACCTCTACCACGTCCCCCACTGCCTGCAGGCCTTCTCCACTATGGCGCACGAGGCCATCATGCATGCACGCACCATGGGCTACCCAACTGTCTTCACCGACCATTCCCTTTTTGGGTTTGCTGACGCCAGCAGTATATTGGTCAACAAGGTGTGGCAGTAAATGCGCGCAGCAGAGCTCAAGCGTAACATCCACAGGGCAGGGGATGCCGGGCTGCATCGTCTGCCACTAGCTATGCCTTCCAGCATGCCGATGCACACCTGGTCTGTGCCTGCCTGTCTGCCTTGTCAACAACGTGCCGCATCTGGGCTAACTCTGCCCCGGCAGGTGCTCAAGTACACGCTGGCAGATGTGCACCACGTCATCTGTGTCAGCCACACCAGCAAGGAGAACACGGTCCTGCGCGCGTGCATCCCACCCAAGCGCGTCTCCGTCATCCCAAACGTTGCGGGAGCGGGCTGGCAAAATGAGCCACAGCTGGGCCAGGTTGTGTTGCCTGCCCCAGGCTACTGCTCTATATGAATTGTGTACCTACCTTGTAGCTGTTGCAGCAGGCGTGACAAATCATGCTCCGCTGTGCTTTGCAGCCGTGGATGCGTCACTATTTGGGCCAGACCCGTCGCAGCAGCAGCAGAGGGACCGTGGGATCACGATTGTGGCCCTGAGTCGGCTGGTGTACCGCAAAGGCATTGACTTGCTGGCGGCCATACTGCCGACCCTCTGCCATCAGCACCCAAACTTGCAGGTGCGGCACTTTTGTTGATCCTGGACATGCCATTCTGGCAGAACCATGGCGTTCTCGTCTCCCAAGCGTGCCGTCTCCCACGCTGGCATGTCGGCAAGTCATCATTGACAACA